CGGGCATCTCACTCAGGCTCAGACTGCACTGCACCTCTACTCAATCCCTAAGGAAGAGTAGCAAAACCATGCTCTGAACCGCTTCACTCAGAGTAAAACCACTGTTCCTTTATTATGCACGCACGCATGTGCGTGTGTGTGTGTGTGTGTGTGTGTGTGTGTGTGTGTGTGTGTACCAGGGATTGAACCCAGGGCCTTTGCATCAACCTACATCTTCAGCCCATTTTTTATTTTGAGAGCTTGTTTAGCGGTTCTAGCAGAGCAGCACAGCTACTCCTTCATCAGCAAGGTCGTCCTCTTCCACTGGGGCACAGCTTTCGGGGGTCGCACAGGGAGCAGTGAGTGAGGAAGGGGATACCACCTGGCCAGCCAGATCAGCCGGATCAACCCTGGCGATCAGTGGAGTGACAGATACTGTGGCCAGATCACTCTCTCTTCCTTATTTCGAGACAGGGTCTCTCTAAATCTCTAAATTGGCCAGGGTATGCTTAAACTTGCAATCTTCCTCCTTGAACCTTCCAGAGTGTTGGGATTCCAGGCTGTGCCACCATGCCTGGCACCATGACACCATTATTCCTTATAACAGTCTGTAAGACTAGAGTCAGATGCCCTCTGCCCCTGCTCCTCATGGGCCCCAGAGTGTACAGAGGGTGTCTCTTCATGCTTTCCCTGGCATTTACAAGTGCCTGGGACTTTACAGGCATTCCATAAATAACAGGTGAATGAGTGACTGAACATAGAACAGTAAAAGCCCAGCCCAGGGACAGAGAGCAGAGATTCTAGGGTGGAATCCTGGAAACCAGAGGCTCCTACAAATGCCAGGACGCAAGATAAGGCTGTCCAGAGAACCAGGTCAGTCTCCACAAGGATCCCCAACTCTCCTCCACACCAGATCTCTGCCTCCCCCTAACCTGGCAGAGGGAAGAGGTTTACTCTCTGGAGGGGCTGAACCAGAGAAGCTCTATTTATAAACACCAGACATGGCTGAGTGTTATGGTAAGGCGGAGCACTGAAAAAAATGAACAGACAATATCCAAGAGCAAAATAAAGAAAAAGAAAGCAGCAACAATATGCAGAGCATAAGAGTGAAGCTGGGTGATGTGGTTAAAGAATCATTCTTCTCCAGTGAGCTCATCAGAAACAGATTTAACAAAATCTATTTCCCATGCAACTACAATCTTCTAATAACAGATTGTAATGGATCAACTGCAGAAACCACTTCCTCACCCCCACAAGTCAGTGTGGATAGACTGCTTTGCACCTGTCACCTGTATGCTCTGACCCAGAACTGCCAGGATCACTTTCCCCAACTCCACCAACCTGGACAGCCCATCCTACCCCTGTATTGCTCCATTTCCCATGGTTATAACTCAGTGCCCAAGGCTGGGTGATGTGTAAAGAGGTTACTGTGGTTTACAGTATTAGAGGCGGAAAGTCTAAGATTGAGTGGTTCCCTCAGTCCAGCCTCCAGTGAGGCCCCCAAGGCTGCATCCTGTCAGGACAGTTGGCCATAGCATGGTGGCAGGAGCATGAATGAGAGAGGAGGAAGGTGCCAGGCTCACTGTTGCACAGTCTCTCCCTCCGGAGAACCAACTGGGATCTCAAAAGAGTAACTTCAAACCCGTATGAGGACAGGACCCTTAAGTGCCGGGTGGCTCCCAAGTGCACACACTGGGGCCAGGCTTTTGACACATGAAACCACATCCAAACCACAGCAACCTGCACAAAGAGCAGGAGTGAAGTCTGTCCCTCTAGAGAAGGGCCAAGCCCAAACCAAAAAGTTTAGAATCAGATTTAAGAAGAAAGTACCTTTTGTTGATCAAAACCAACAACAAGGACAAGCAGAGTCCATTTTTTAGAATGCACAGTAGGTACTGTACTAGAGATTGCATTGTTCTTTTGGGAGTGGAACTTCTGTCCTATTCTTTCAACCATGATCTTTTATGGGCTCTAACAATAGCATGGCATTCCACTGGGGAATGTGTGGGTGGCACTGGGGATGGAACCCAGGCCTCCTGCATGCTTGGCAACCAGCCCTGTGAACCAACAATTTTATTTATTTTTTGGTTTTCTTAAAACAGGGTCTCGCTATGTAGTCCATGGTGATTTTGAACTCACTATACACACCAGCCTAACCTTGAACTCACTGCAATCCTCCTGTCTCAGCCTCCCAAGTGCTGGGATTGCACCACCATGCCCAGGCTCCACAATAATAAAGATACAATTAAACTAAATTTCTAGGGAAAAAAAATGACACAAAAAATAAAATCCCAAGTGTTTTATTATTAAAGACAATAGCCATAAAATTACTCTGCCAAACTGCTACACAAATTGCTAAACACTTAGTTTTCTTTATCTTAACCCCAGCAGGCCCAGCACCACGCTTTAAAAAGTTCAGTTGTAAACTCCTGCGACAGTTTGAAGAGAAATGTTATAGTTATGGCTTGTGTTAGACGTTCCCTCAAACCTCATGCGGTCATAGGTGGGGCTTTTTCAGAGGTGGCTGGATCAAAAATGTGTGATGCTGGGATTGATTCGTGGTGCAATGCTAGGACCAAACGCATTAGGATTAAAGGTGTGAATGCTACCCACTCTAAGTAGCCTGGATAAGATATAAGGGATAGAAAGAGCTGAGGTTGACCCCTGCTTTCTTTGCTACTTTCTGCCCATCATGAACTGTTTCTCCTCTGTGATGCCTGCCTGTCATGGCAACCTGCCTTGGAGCCAGCCAATTATGACCTGAAACCTCTACAATCTGTAAGCCAAATAAACCTTTCCTCCTTTAACTTTGGGTACTGAGTATTTTGTCTCAGCAATGAGAAAAGTAACTAACAAAGTTATGAACTCCTTAATCTAAAATACTGCTTCAGCCAGGTGTGGTGGCACACACCTGTAATCTCAGCACTCGGGAGACTGAGGCAGGAGGATCGTCACAAGTTCAAGGCCAGCCTAGGCTCTATAGTGAGTTCAAGGCAAGCCTGGACTACATAGCAAGATCCTGTCTCAAAAAACAAAACAAAACAGGGCCAGGGATTTAGCTCAGTGGCACCATGCCTGCCTCACAAGCACAAGGTCCCAAGTTCGATCCCTGGTACTAAAAAAAAAAAAAATAATAATAATAATAATAATAATAAATATTGCTTCATCCTTGGAGGGCAGAAATTTTTCATATTTCTATTTACTCACATACTGTTCCAGACACTCTCTCCAGTTTAGGGTATGAGCAAACACTTCTAGCTTCCTGTCACTCTCCTCAATCGTGATTCATCTTTGACATTCTTTTTTGTTTGTTTGTTTGGGTTTTTTTTTTTTGGTACTGGGGATCAAACTCGGGTCCTTGCACTTGTGCAGCAGGTGGCAAAACCACTGAGCTAAATCCCCGGCCATCTTTGACATTCTTAATCTTGTTTCTAAATAAACTAATGATTTACCCCAAATTATACAGCAACTGTGAAAATACATTCCTAACAATTGTGTTATCCTTTTGGTTCCAAATATTCCTGTTCTTCCCCACCCCTTTTCTTTTTCAGCACTGAGGACTGAACACAGAGCTACATCCCCAGTTCTTTTAAAAAATTTTTTTTGTTCTTTTTGGTACTGGGGATCAAACTCAGGACCTTGGGCTTGCGAGGCAGGCGCAGTGCCACTGAGCTAAATCCCCGGCCGTTAAAATTTTTGACACAGGATCTTATCAAGCTGCTAAGTAGCCAGGGTTGGCCTGAATTTGCCATCCTCCTGCCTCAGCCTCCTAGAGTACTAGGATTACAGGTGTGCAGCACCACACCTGGCTCCGTTCCATTTTTTAAAAAAAATCACTGCTTAAAACAAAAGTACTTTGTGTCTAGAATGATAAGGGAGACTGCAAAAAGTACCAGTGCGTTTGTTAAAGACTCCTAATAAAGAGCACAGGGTCATTGAAGGCCAGGGTCAGCCTGCCACCTCTCCTTGAGGCTGGGTACAGACAGGCTGCGGGGGGACTAGCAATGCTCCTCCCCCCACTCCCCACCCCCAGTCAGCCACAAAGGAAACGGGAGCCGGGAAGACCCGGCTCACAGCTTACTGCTCATTGTCCTGGTACCGAAGCCTGAAGGAAAGTCAGCTGTTGGCTCTATTCAAAAGCTCAAAACAGTCACTACTTACTTGCACCCCGGATGAACCAACTCCTGGGCAACTGCTGCAATGAGAAACACCCCCAAGACATTGGGAAAGATGCGCGGACACCAAGAAAAAGGGGAACTGAGGAAACAGTTCAGGTAATTGGTAGCTCCTGTGCTCTCCACACTACGAACGTAAAAAGATTTGAAAAGAGCAAGAACACGATGTCCAGTGAGTATTATTTTTGGTGCATTCACAGTGATGTAGGAATCAACACTTCATTAAAATGAGAATAGAATATCAATTTCTTGGCTGCTCAGCAGTATGACCAACAGTCTAAGACTTTGCTAAAAAACAACCAATGACTTGGCAGGGCTCTTAAACAAAAAAAGATAAGTTTGCTTAATTCTCAAACATGGAAATAAGAATAGTAGAGAACTCAGATTTCAAAACTTGCCCAACACCTCCAATACCCACGGAAATCAGCTGGTCATTGTGAGGAGCTAGCACATTCAGGAGTAGTTAATAAAGATGACAGCCGAAAAACAAGAACTTGAAATTCTATCAAGATCTGAAAATTTAAAGTGTAAGATAAAGATGGAGTCGGAGGTCTGTCTAGGAAGTACAGGGAAAATTGAGCAACTCGCAAACCACCTCCTGCACGCACACCACAGCCCGCTCAGTCCCGTCGGCAAGCGGCTCGGCCCAGCCGAGTGAAGCCAGCTGACAGGAGGCGCACGGCCCGGAGCCCTTGGCCGGGGAAGGGCGCGGGGAGCAGCCGGCCCAGGAGGGGACCCGGACCCGCCGGAACTGCAGGTGGCCGCGTCCCGTCAGGGTGGGGCGGACCGACCCGCTGGCCGCCCGCGACCCGATCCCAAGTGCCCGGAGATGCGCGCCCCGGTCACCTTCTGCGCGCTGGAGCCGCGAACCAGCGCCGTCCGGTCATAGACGTGGCAGCGGATCACAGAGCTCCCCACGTCCAGCCCCAGCACGAAGGCCGTAGGCCGGTGCTGGAGTCCATTAGACTGCTCCGACATCCCAGCCCTCAAGCCACAACGCCACCCCCGCCACGCCGGCAGGCGAGTTATATAAGCCAGCACCTCCCGGCCGCGCGCCCCGCCTCCTCCGCCAGAGCCGGGGCGCGCCCCCCGCGGGCCCCGCCCCGGCGCGTGACGTCACGGTCGCGCGAGGGGCGGAGGCGCGCTTCCGTACCCCGAAGTTGTGGCTCCCGGGTTCACCGGGGTTTAGGTCGTAGCCTCTTAAGGTCGTGTGGGTTTGGTCCTCGATTCTAAATTTTTTCCTCGTGACTCCCAGCTCCCTGAGGAGCTCCTGCGTCCTTCTGACCCCAGTATGTATTAATAAAATGAGGAGGGTCCCCCAAGGCTTCTGTCCCCGGAAAAGCTGGTACGAGTTGCACTTGGAATGCACAGCAGTAAAAACATACTAAATGAGATACGAGACAAGTAAACCTTCCCCAACTCTCTGTGTGAAAAAAAAAGAAACCTTAAGGAGGCTGTTTTTACCATCGCGCCGTGGAATCTAGAAGCCTCACAGGGATCATTTGCTCCCTGGGCCTGGCAAGTGGAACAAAGGGGCGAGAACGTGAGCTGTACAGACTTCGAGATTCTTGAGTGGGGTTCACCAGCCTCCAGCTCTCTGGCCTTTCTGGCCAACGGCGTCCTCTTCTGGAGGGGGTCGTAAGGCCTGTTCATACTTACCCAGTGCCACCAACTCTGCAAAATTGGCACCCGCAAAAGCTCACTATCTTGTAAAATTATCAAAGTAATGTAGATATGTTTTTCGTGAGAACGTTTAATGGAGCACAGTAGTATATTAAATAGTGATAGGGGCCGGGGATTTAGCTCACTGGCACCGCTCCTGCCTCTCAAGCACAAGGTCCTGATTTCAATCCCCGGTACCAAAAAAAAAAGTGATGGATACTGATTTTAAACCAAATCTTTTTTTTGGTCAAATTACCCTCTTAACCTGTTTGGCTTCTGCCAATTTGACCAAAATGGGGTTTAGGCCATGTAGCTAGAAGAGTACACCCAAGAGTATGTATTTTATCTTTCTACCCTGTCGCTGTTCAATAGTACTAATTTGTTCCAAATGGCCTCAATGCTGACCATTTGGGTTGGGGGTGTGTGTGAATTTCCAGGATTGTAATTTGAAATAAATGACCAATGGGTCTTGCATTGGTCGAAGTTCTCAGGAGACATAAAACCAATAGGAGAAAGAAAGAGAGGTTAAGGAACTGGTAACTGTTAACCAAATTGATACATAAAATCAACCACAGTTTCCTGTCCACAGCAGAAAACTGTTTTATGTTACCAATTTGATATTTGACATATTTCTCAAAGTGATATTTCCTCATATTTTTTTACCCTGATGCTTCCTTCATGATCCTTTTTGCAAATTCAAATTAATTATCTGGAGTATTATCAAAGAATCATAGAATGTAGAAACAAGGACCTTAAAAACCAGTCTTAAAAAAAAAAAAACCCTGCGCAAGCGCAAGCACAAGGACCCGAGTTCAATCTCTGGTACAAAAAAAAACAAAAACCAGTTAGTCTAGTGTTTTTCTTTAAATTTTTGTTTTGTGGACCAGGGATCAAACTCAGGAACTTGCGCTTGCCAGGCAGGTGCAGTGCCACTGAGCTAAATCCCTGGCCCTGTTTTGTTTTGTTTTGAGACAGGGTCTTGCTGTCTAGCTCAGGCTGGCCTTGAACTCACTATGTACCCCAGGTTGGCCTCGAACTCACAGTGATCCTCCTGCCTAAGCCTCCCAAGTGCTGAGATTACAAGCTTGTGCCACAACACCCAGCTTCAAGAAGATTTTTATACAGACAAAATTTTGCATGTAACCTTAGGTGCTGAGTATGGCATAAACGTAAAAATCTCATTAAAAATCTGAGCTTGATTTCCCTACACTGATGGACTATGGTGTGAAACAAACCTGGAGGAGGGCTGGGGATTTAGCTCAGTGGTTTCCCAGCCTGCTGCGCAAGCGCAAGGACCGGGGTTCGAGCCCCGGTACCAAAAAAGAAAAGAAACCTGGGGGGAATAAATGGATATTGTGTTCTTCCTTGTTCATTGTTCTCTGCTGGCTGCTCATGTGCTGTGTCATTAGGGAAAAGGTGTGGGCCCCAGCACACATAGCCCAGAGGCTTCCAAATGCCAGTGCTTAGCAGATCAGGTCAGTCCACTGTTGTTGATTCAGAAGCCACCCTGCTGTAACCTCTATCACCTCATCACCTTAACTCTCACCTATCTCATTGCCCATAAAGTTCATGAACCTTAAGCAGCAGGCTTGTGGTTTGTGTGCTCCCCTGCAAGGTCCTGAGAAGAGTTTTAGGAAAAAGATTTTTATAGTGTACTTGTTTTCTTAAAGTCCCTAACATTATATAAGCCTCAGGTCCCACAAAACCTCATCCTCCCTCCTTAGTCTTCAGATATTGTTTCCTAATCCTTTCTTTTGTTCTTCTGAACACCTGTGTGGTCCCAAATGCTGTCCTGTACCCATTTGGAATAGCAGAAGTCCCAACTCACTATTCTGAACCCCCTTAATTCCAACACCATCAGAGATTACTCTGAGTATTATGATGTTAAGCCCTGGCTTCCTTGGGCCCAACTGTACGATCAAGCCAGTTCTGAAGGATCCAGCCCTGCTCATTCCTTACACTGTTGCATGGCAATCCTAGCCTGCCTTGCTGTTAAGCCCTTACTCCCTCTGAAATAGTCAAATCAAAAGGAGTGAGAACCAAAATCTTCAAATTCTCAGGACTGCACCAGGGATTTAGTTCAGTGGCACTACGCCTGCCTTGCAAGTGCAAGGTCCTGAGTTTGATCCCCAGTACCAAAAAAAAAAAAATTCTCAGGTCTGATATCATTCAAGATCTGAGAATAAGGGCCAGGGATTTAGCTCAGTGGTTCCAGTGCCTGCCTCGAAAGCACAAGGTCCCAAGTTTGATCCCCGGTACCAAAAAAAATAAAAATAAAAAAAAATAAAAGAGGACTTTGAATCAGATCAAAGTCAAAGGGAGAAATTAAAAACTGTACGATACCAAGTTCGATCCCTGGTTCAAAAAAAAACACAAAACTGTACGATAGAATAATAATACCAGAAAACGCAGACTAGACAAAGTTACTTCATAAATAAGCAAAAAACTTTGTTCCATGCTTCCTAGCACACAAGGCATGAATAGAAATAAGCTAGTACCCCTCACCCCACTGTGTCCTTGGGGAAGGAGTACATGGGCCACAGGGCTCAGTGACTTCCACATGCACTTTGCTAGTGAGTCGAGTCAGTGCACTGTATACGATTCAGAGCCACCACTGCTGTGACCTTTGTCATCTGGTGGCCTTAACCTTACCTGTCCTTGCTACCACTCCTTCTCAGTTGCTGGGCTTAGCTACTCTCCCAGGCTCTTTCCCCACCAGTGTCCTTTCTTAATCTTTTTATAGCAGACCAAGAATTACAGCTTAATGTGCCAGCCTCCCACACTCAGGAAACTTGGATAGAGTTCCCAGAGTTGGATCAGAAAAGCCATAGAGGTTGTTATAATGGTGTGTGGGAGGCCACTTGAGACAGGCTTTGGAAAAAAAAGGCTTTTTCTTTTGTTTTTTGAGACAGGGTCTCACTATGTAGTCCAGGCTAGCCTTGACCTTGTGGTGAACCTCCTGCCTTAGTCTCCCGAGTGCTGGGATTATAAGTGTGCTCCACCATGCCTCACGGGAAAAAAAAGCTTTATTCCTGTCTGGTTGTGAACAGAGACTGAAATTGGGGACAGATTTCAGCCACTAGTTGGGGAGAGCCAAATTTATTTCATCCATGTGTGGATGGGCTGACATCGAGAGAGGAGAGAGACATCTGCAGCTAGCTGGGAGAGAAATCAAGTTTATATAGGGTTTGGGAAGGAGCTACATTCATAAGGAATGTTTATGACTTAGGATTGAAGGATGGTCAGCGCAGGTATGTGAAGGACCCTTGTTAACAAGAGAGACTCCATATTACTGCTTGACCCACCTGCCTGCCCTTTAGATGAACTCAGAAGGAGAAAGCTTAGAAACCTCCTCCCCTTAGAGAGTCTCTTAGAAACAACAATTAATCAACTATTGCTTTATAAATGTTCTAACAGCAGAACGTTTCGCTTCTGTACCGGTTGCTACACTCCCCTAACCGCCAACGTCTTCCTTCTGTACACCTGCTTGCCAAGTTCCCTCTTGTGACCCCTATAAAAGAGCCTCAGACTCTGAGCCGGGTGCCTCTCTAAGCTTGGTGCTTGGAGGGTGCCGTCTGGCCAGACTAATAAAGGTCTGTTTTACTTTCTCAACTTGTCCGGTGTGTTCCCTCCTGGGTGATCTTTGCTGTAGTCAGCTCCTCGGAGCATTTGGTGAGACCCATGGTCTTACAGTATGCAGACAATCACTGGACCTTTCTGCACTGGGGAGATTGTGTATTCTGTCTTAAATTTTCTTTATGGCCATCTGTCCAATTTACTGAGAGTAGCCTGTTGTTTGTAGAGAATGGCGTGTCTGCGAAGATCTCATTCAGGCCAGGCATGCCAGAGGTTACCACTCCATCAGAAAGAAGGAAGCCATATGAGTGCTGTCCCAATTACTGCATTTACACTAACTTGTGCAGTTCTGTATATTCTTACTTTTCTCCTGAACCCAGAAGTACATCTTTGTGTTGTTGTAGTGGGGAAGAAGCCTCTCGAGGCCTTCCAGGGGGCCTGAGGCAACAGTGAGAGCTGATTTTGCCACCCAGACTCCTCAAGGTTACTTCATAAATAAATAAGTACAAACTTTGTACCATGCTTCCTAGCATACAAGGCATGACTGGAAATAAACTAGTACCCCTCACCCTACTGTGTCCTTGGGAAAGGAGTACGTGGGCCACAATTTGATACCTCTGTGTCAGAGGCTGGCTTCCTCCATCCTGAGAGAGAGAGAGAGAGAGAGAGAGAGAGAGAGAGAGAGAGAGAGAATGAGAGAACAGCTGCAAGTTTTTGCTGGCCTCAGCCTTGAGGGGCCTCTGGGGGAAATCGCAGCCTCTTCATGACTGA